CCTACTGATTCTCTAAGAATCATCTTAGAAGGCTAAAGCTGGGCCTGGACGATGACTCAATGGCTAAATTCTTACCTTGTACCCTCTGGGATCCCATATGGGCACCATTTCACATTCCAGTTGCTCCACTTCCCATCCAGCTCCCTGTTTGTAGCCTGGGAAAGCAGTAAAGGATGGCCCAAAGTGTTGGGACCCTGCCCCTGCATGGGTGACCTGGAGGAGACTCCTGGCTCCTGACTTCGGATCAGCTTAGCTCTGGTCCTTTCGCCATTTGAGTAGTGAAACAGTGCATAGAAAATCTTTACCTCTCCTTCTCTAGCTAAATCTTATCTGCCTTTTCAATAAAAATAAGTGAATATTTTTTAAAAAAAGATAAAACCTTTTACTATGATAAGCAAACCAACAGCAGTGCCAGCACGTCACCTATCAAAAGTGCAGTCATCATGGTGAAACGCAAGTATTAAAAAGAAAATTACATGACACCTCTAACAAATAACTCTCAAACAGCACATTACAACAGAAAGGATTTTCACTAGTTTCCCAGTAAGGAATTCAAATAATTATCCTAAGGAAATTTAATGAGATAGAATACAGAGAGAAAATACAACAGAATTGAGAAAATAACTTACCAGAGGAAGAAAATCAGCAGAGATGAATTTCACCAGGGAGAACTGGACAAAAATCTTGAAACTAAAGAACAAGTGAAATTAAAATACACACACACACAAACCATACCCAGTTTGACTGGAACACTCTGATGTCTTGAAATTTCCTCCAGAGAAGCAACCTGTTGAGCCTCTTGCAAAGTCTCAGATATGTGTCTGCAGAACAACCAGATTCTTCGTAATTACGGAACAAGGCTGACCTTTAGTCCAGTTCCCATTCTCCTTCCGTCTGAGATCTCTGCTCATATTTCTACCAGCAATCGGTCTTCATTTCACAACTGCTTGCAAAGCTCTGCCTACAGCATTCTACGCTTTCGCTAGTTTGCCCCTTCAAGGTTCTTCCATCCTTTTCTGGTAACCCAATTCCAAAGGCTTCTGCACATTTTCTGGAAGAGTTAACAGTAATAACTGTACTTCTCGGGTGGCAAACTTTGTTTATCAGGATTGTCTTGCGATGTGGAATCAGAGGGTGTGTATATAGGTCAACAAAAGGAGATTTATTAGGGGAGCTGAATCATGTGACTGCAACAGCTCCTGAGTTCCATGACAGGCTGGGATCCTGGCAGCATGGCTCAGAACAGGCTGAAGGCCGTCAGAACTGCTGAACGTGCTGTGCAAAGCTCCATTCAAAGTCACAAGACTGAGCTCCAGCAAGGGGTAACTCCTAAATCCAAATGCCAGCAGCTGATGTCCTAGGCATGAGTCAAGTGTGACCCAGCCCTCACTGTGACAGACTCTTTTGTCTTCAGCATTCAGTCTGTCTAGATCCTGAGCCTGCTTTGCCAACTGGCTAAACATATCTAGTACACTCAGACTCACATGCTCATCTTGTTTGAAAACACCCGTATGATTAAAACCAAAGTAACTTTTCCATGTTTCAAGAAATTTCTTAACCAAATCTACATCATAAAAAGAACCATGGAAATACATATAAGCTACTAAAACTGAGCTGTGAGGACAGTATCTGAACAGATCAACAATGAGCCAAGATAAATTGAATCACTACAGAGCATATCCCAACAAAGGAAAGCCCAGGACCTGCTGGATTCACTGCTGCGTTCTGCAAAAGATTAAAGAAAGTGATGCCAGTTCTGTCCAACTTTCTAACAAATTCAAAAGGAGGTTTACTCTGATATCAAAACAAGGCAAACCCATAACAATAATTAAAAAAAGAAAACTAACACCAATATCCCCAGTAAACTTGGGTATAAAATTTCTTTACAAAACTGGGAAATCTATTGTAAGAGCATATCAAAAGAACTGGGATTTATTTCAGGAATGTGAAGATGTACACATAATGTGTATGTGCGAACTACACATAATGTAACAAAGGTTACATGGAAGAAGTGAAGAATATTTAGAGTTGGAAAGTACAATGCCTGAAATGAAACTGACCCAAGAGGCATATGAACAGATGAAAGGAGGCAGATGACAGATTCAGTGAACACAGAGATGGGTCCACTGAGGGCAGCCACTGTGAGGAACTTCTCAACAAGCCTGAGCAGCCACACACTGAGGCTCGGCCCATCCAGCTCGCCAACTGCTTGGACACCAAGACACGCAGAAGGTCTCAACGGAACGCTTCCCAGATGTGGCAAAGAACGATCTCCTAGCCTAGAAGCTAACAGGACTTTAGGATTAACTCAAAGACATCTACACCTATGAGCGCAAGACTTCAGAAATTCATCCATACCTGTGACATTCACTAGGGCCCATGATACGGCATGAGGAAAACAAAGCACGCCCACACAATCTTCTACCTGTAGTGCTGCCATCCCATGTGGGCACCGGTTCGAGTCCCAGATGCTCCATTTCTGACAGAGGATGGTCCAAATCCTTGGAGCCTGGTCCTATGTGGGAGACCCAGAAGAAGCTCCTGCCTCCCAGCTTTGGATCAGCCCAGCTCTGGCCATTGTGATCATCTGGAGAGTCAACCAGTGATGAACTCTTGCTCTTTCTCCCCATCTCTGTATGATTCTGACTTTCAACTGAAATAAGTAAATAATTTGCCATAATAAATTTCCCTCTCAATAATGAAAAACAAACAAACAAAAACACAAAGCACTCCCACAGCCAGGAAAGAGGATGCAGCAGCCTCTGGCAGCCTGGGAAGCTCCTTTTGAAAACAGCCTGGTATCTTACCCCACAAAGTCTTCATCCAAGGAAGGTACCTCAGGAGAATGCTCTCTGCCCAGTGCCAAATGGGAAGCCCAGTCTGATAACAATGGTAATAATACCTTGTGAGAGGCCCAGCAGCATGGCCTAGTGGCTAAAGTGCTTGCCTTGAATGCCCCGGGATCCCATATGGGCGCCAGTTCTAATCCCAGCAGCTCCACTTCCCATCCAGCTCCCTGCTTGTGGCCTGGGAAAGCAGTCGAGGACAGCCCAAGGTTTTGGGATCCTGCACCCGCATGGGAGACCCAGAAGAGGCTCCTGGCTTTGGACCAGCATAGCATCGGCCGTTGCACTCACTTGGGGAGTGAATCATCAGACGGAAGATCTTCCTCTCTGTCTCTCCTCTCTGCATATCCACCTTTCCAATAAAAATAAAACTAATTTAAAAAAAATCTTTTCGTCCCAGGATAGGCACTCTGCTCTCTGCTCTGATGCAGCTTGGCCTGTCTGGCGTTCTCTCAGCAAAGCTCCCTCAGTTCTTTGCTGAGGCACCTTCCTGGCTTGTCAGGTGTATTCTCTCTGCTAAACTATAGAACCTTGCTTTCCCCAGTCAGCGAGGCATTCTTCCTCAGATCCCATCTAGTGAGGTGCCCATCTGTTCTGACACGTCCTACTTGCTTACACCTGCTTTGTCTCATGCTTGAGTTTTTGTGGTGCAAAGACAGAACTTCCATTCCACCCATCTCCACTGGCAAACACACACACTGCAACTACCACAAGACAGAAAAAAGTCTGAGCAGGCATTTGGTTCAGTGGCTAGGATGCCAGTTCAACAACTGGCCAAATGGTGTAGCAGTTATGCCACTGTCTAAGATGTTGGTATCTCTTACGGGCACTGGATCATGTCCTGGCCACTCCACTCCTTGTTTGTTTGTTTGTCTTGTCTTGTCTTGTTTTTAAGATTGAATTTCTTTTTATTGCAAAGTCAGACACACAGAGAGCAGAAGAAATAGACAGGAAGATCTTCCATCCAATGATTCACTCACCAAATGGCTGCAACAGCTGGAAATGAGCTGATTCAAAGCCAGAAATCAAGAGCTTCTTCCAGGTCTCCCACGCGAGTGCAAAGTCCCAAGGCTTTGGGCCGTCCTCGACTGCTTTCCCAGGCCACAAGCAGGGAGCTGGATGGGAAGCAGGGCTTCCTGATTAGAACCAGTGCCCATAGGGGATCCTGGCACCTGCAAGATGAGCTGCTGGACTGCTGTGCTGGACCTGCCCCACCACGTCTGATCCAGCTCCCTGCTAAAGGCCTGGGAAAATCAGCAGAAGATGGCTCAAGAATCTGGGTCCCTGTCACTGCAAGGGAGACCTGAACAAAGCTTCTAGTTCCTGGCTCGGTGCTGGCTGTTGCAGCCATCTAGGGAGTGAGTCAGTAACTGGAATATTCTCCCTTTCTCTTGTTCTTGCTACAATGGAGTGAGTGTACGAGTGTGTGTGTGTGTCCTCTCTCTCTCTCTGTGTAACTCTTTTTCTCTCTCTGAAACTCTGATTTTTAGAATGTAAGTAGATGATGTTTGAAGGATGCCAGTTCACTCATGTCCCACATGGCAGTGTCTGCATCTGATACCTGGCCGTGGCTCCACCTTCGTGCTGCACACCTGGGAGGCAGCAGGGATGGTGCCTGGATTGGGTGCCTGGCTTGCAGGTTGAGACCCCTTGGAGACAAGTGAAGCCATTTGAGGCAGCAGTAGGTAGTAGACGAAACTTCTCCCTTTTATTACTCTTCTGTCTTGCCTCGCTGTGACCACAAATACAAAAATAATATAACTGAAGTGGGTGTGTGCCTACAGCAGACGTGGGGGCAGAGGCAGATCAGAACCTTGGTCTCAAGGAGCTTCTAGAAGCTCTTCTAGGAAGCTGGATAGAAGTGGAGGTGGATACAGGAGGGGAAGGCCTCCTCCTTGTCCCACCAGATCCCTCCACTTCCTAACTGGCTAGGCACCTGGGGAATGCAGGGGAAGGGAAAGGACCTTTGTAGCCACCCCAGCTCCTCCCTGTTCCTACTAGAAGCAGTGAACAAAACATGTTGACTCATGCCAGAGAACAAAGGCCAGTCTTAACTCTTTTTATAAAGGAGCAGCCTGGACTGGTTGAGCACTGAGTGCATGGTGAAACGCTTCCTGGCTGGCGCCAAGTGTGGAGTTGGTAGGGGCACCTGGTGTGGCCGAAGGATCATAGTGTGAAACGAGGCCACCATGGGGCTGTTGTCGGCAGACACACTGACACCCCTGGCCGTGGCCGTGGCCATCTTTCTGCTCCTGGTGGACCTGATGCACCGGCGCCAACGCTGGGCCTCATGCTACCCACCAGGCCCCATGGGAATGCCTGGCCTGGGAAACCTACTACAGTTGGACTTCAATGCCATCTCCTACTGCTTCCGTCAGGTGAGGAAGGTGGCGATGGAGGGCAGCAGGGGTTGGGGACTGAATGCACCCACGAGGGTGGTGGAATCATGAGCTGTACAAGAGTTCAGGAAGCGTGAGTCAGAGGCTTCCTGAGGCCACTCTGCAGGCCTAGGGACAGTTTGGATCTCTCAAAGCACACATCTGGCAGGGCAAGGGCATGGGACAGAGCAGGAAGTGGCAGGTTTTTGCCAACCCCCTGGAGGGCACACAGGTCACACAGGTCCTGAGTCCCCTCTGATTACATCACAGGAAAAGGCTTGGGGATTTGGGGCAGGGTACTGGGCATTGCTGGCATCAGAGAGCCAAGTCAGAGATGTGGTGACGTGCTACCAATCTCCTGTCGCTTGCCTGGGTCCTCACTGCTCACCTGGAACCATGTTACAATGCTGCAAGTTGCAAGGACTGAGCTGGGTGGTGTGTCTCAAAATGAGCTCCCCTCCAGGGAGGACAGAAACCCCCAGGATCCTGAGACTTTCCTGCATCTGCTCAAGGAGTCCTCAGGGTTAGTAGCAACAGTGGGGCAAGCAATTCAGTAGGAATGTGTCCCTCCCTCTGCAGCTGCGGGGCCGCTATGGGGATGTGTTCAGCCTGCAGCTGGCTTGGACCCCTGTGGTCGTGCTCAATGGGCCAGCTGTCGTGCACGAGGCACTGGTGACCCATGGTGAAGACACCTCGGACCGTCCATATACACATACTTTGGACCACGTGGGCTTTGGGCCACATGCTGAAGGTAAGGCATTGTTTGGTAACCTTGTCCTGGTGGGACTGGGGAGAGCAGTGACCATAGACAGGATCTGAATGTGGGGGTGAGGAAAAGCCAGACAACCCGGGCAGGGGTGGAGAAACAATCCAGGTTCTGTGCCCAGGTGACCAAGAGTGTTGGGAGAAAGAGGAAAAGGAGGGTAGGGATGTGGCTGGGGCAGGGCCAGGCCACTAAGCCATGCTCACAAAGCAAATCTGCCTCCAGGAGTGATCATGGCACGTTATGGACCTGCATGGCACGAGCAGCGCCGCTTCTCCGTGTCCACCCTGCGCAACTTCGGCCTGGGCAAGAAGTCACTGGAGCAGTGGGTGACAGAGGAGGGCGCCTGCCTCTGTGCTGCCTTCTCCGACCATGCAGGCAGGTGCTGGGCCAAGGAGCAAAGCTGGGCTCAGAGGGGTGGACACAGGGGGCCACCCTCTGACCACACCTTTGCTCCCAGGACGCCCCTTCAGCCCCAGGAGCCTCCTGAACAAAGCTGTGTGCAATGTTATCGCCTCACTCACCCAAGCACGCCGCTTTGAGTACAACGACCTGCACCTAACCAGGCTGATAGACCTCGTGCAGACCATGATCAAAGAGTCGTCTGGGATCTTGCCAATGGTGAGGGTCTCAGGGAGACTGTGGGAAGAGCCTCTGCATCCACAAGGGGGACAAGGAGAGTGGTGCTACAGGAAGAAGGGCCCTGACTTGATGCATCTCAGCCCACAACGAGGGGCAGGCCAGGTTGGTGGCCACAGCAGAGGCTAAGGATGCTGTCCATCCTGTATGGCTGGGGACGTCGTGGCTCATGATAGTTCTGTTTCAGGTCTGTCTTTGTGCTCCCATACACACACACACACCCCACTCAGGCTAATGCTGGGGATGGGCAGGCCTGGAGGTGGTGCACCTGAATCCCGGCCAGGTGAGCACTGGACACAGGAAGACCCACCCTCCTTCCACTCAGGCACTGAACGTGATCCCCGTGCTTCTGCGCATCCCGGGCTTGGCCGACAAGGTCTTTTCAGGGCAGAAGGCTTTCATGACCGAGCTGGACAAGCTGGTGGCCGAGCACCGCAGGACGCGGGATCCCGCCCAGCCACCCCGAGACCTGACCGATGCCTACCTGGATGAGGTGGAGAAGGTGAGACGCAGCTGCCAGGGCAAGTTAATGGCTGGATAGTGAGAGTACTATAGGCCCAGCCTGGCAGAGTGGGGCCTGTGCCTCACTCTCTGACCCGGTACTAGGCAGCCAGGACACAATGGGAGGTTGGGTGAGGGATTTGTGTGCTCCTGAGCCCACCCACTCTTCCTGTGCAGGCCAAGGGGAATCCAAACAGCAGCTTCAATGATGACAACCTGCGCATGGTGGTGTCTGACCTGTTCATAGCTGGGATGGTGACCACAGCGATCACACTGGACTGGGCCCTCCTGCTCATGGTCCTGCACCCGGAAGTGCAGCGTGAGCCCCCTGGGGATGCTGGGGTAGAGGGTGGGATGTGGGTCCTTCAAAGGCCTCTGAGCTGACCTGGACTCCTGTGGCTCTGAGCACAGGCCAGGGGAAGCCTCCTGCCACAGTGCCCTCCTCCACCTGTGGGAACAGTTCCTCCACAGGAGGCAGCAGTGTTTCCAGGCTCAGCTCCAGGGTGCTGAGCTGCTGTGGGGACCCTTGTCTGTGCAGGCCGTGTCCAGCAGGAGATCGATGAGGTCATAGGGCAGGTGCGGCCACCAGAGATGGCAGACCAGGCCCGCATGCCCTTCACCTGTGCTGTGGTCCACGAGGTTCAGCGCTTTGCTGACATCATCCCACTGGGGCTGCCTCACCAGACATCACGTGACACAGAAGTACGGGGCTTCCTCATCCCCAAGGTAGGCTCACACTGGCCCAGCAGCTCCTGACATCTGATGGACCTAGCACTGTCACCCTTGGGTGGAGCTGGGATGCAGCCCTGGGCACCCAGCCCTCAATGTCCCTGGGACCATTGGGTCAGCTGAGTAGGGTGGATGTAGAACAGAGGCAGGGCCAGTCCTGTGCACAGAAAGACACCAGGAGAGTGGGGAGGACAGAGCAGAATGTGTCACAGTCATCCGAGGAACCAAAGAGCATAGGGACATGTGGCAGTGTGTGCGCCATGGGAGCTATGACAGAGGGCGAACCAGGACAACATAGAGTGTGAGCAGCTCTTGGGCTGAGGGTCCCTTGAAGAATCCAGAAGATGGAGTACAAGATCATGGCTGTGCCCTAAGATTGGCATCCTAGGCCCCAGCCTTGCCCCGACTCAAGCCAGGCTCTTCGGCCCAGGGGACAGTGCTCTTCACCAACCTGTCATCGGTGCTGAAGGATGAGGACACCTGGGAGAAGCCCTTCCGCTTCTATCCGGAACACTTCCTCGATGCTCAGGGCAACTTTGTGAAGAAGGAGGCCTTCATGCCTTTCTCCACAGGTGCCTGGGGTGCTGCCTGCTGCCCCTGTCCCTGGGGAGAGGGGAGGGTTAGAGCCCAGGCTGACTGAGCCCCTGACTCACCCACAGGTCGCCGTGTGTGTCTCGGGGAGCCCCTGGCCCGCATGGAGCTCTTCCTCTTCTTCACCTGCCTCCTGCAGCGCTTCATGTTCTCGGTGCCCGCGGGGCAGCCCCGGCCCAGCGACCACGGGGTCCCTGGTGCCCTGGTGACTCCGGCCCCCTACCAGCTCTGTGCTGTGTCCCGCTAGAGGCAGGACACAAAGACCCCAGATCACTTCTCAGCAAGCTCTGATCCACAATAAAACAATCTCCTGGCTCATGGGTGCTGTCTTTCCTCTCTCTCTCTCTAACTCCCCTTTCCCTGATTTATGTATCTTAAAGGAAAATTACATTGAGAGAGGGAGAGACATGCAGAGAGAGCTCTTCCATCTGCTGGTTCACTCCCCATATGGCAGCAAAGGCCAGGAAGGGGCCAGCCAAACCTAGGTGTTTCTTCTGGATCTCCCACATGGGTGTTGGGCAGGGAACAAGAATGGAAGTGAAGCAGCTGGGAGTCAAACTGGCATCCATATGGATTGCAGGCACTGCAGACAATGGTTAAATTGCTATGCCACAGAACTCGTTATGCCATGTGGTTTCTGAGTCTGCCTTCATCCCCCAGATCAGCCCCTGACTGGCATAGGTCCTCAGCCTCCTCCTGAACCTAGCCCCCACCATCTCAAATCTGACCACTAGACTCTGTCCTAGACAGGGGGCATCCATGCTTCGTGGGGACAGCTTGCCCTCAGCCACCCATTGTTCCACCTCAGCTGTGTGTTTTGGTGACCACCCAGACAACCTGTGTGGGGAGCAAGAACAACATGCATGGGCATCCACAGTGCATCCCCCAGGTCCTGGCTGGTGAGTTTTGGGGTCCCCCAGGCCTCCCTCGGGCTCTGTGATTTTCTAAAGCCTTCACAGATCTAGAAATGCTGTTGACCTTCCCGTTCTGCTTTATGGAGCAGAAGGACCGAGACGGAATCAGCAACATAACAGGCACCTGGGCCCCGGCAGTGAGACCAGACAGGAGCCCCCACTGTCATACTCACCATGAAAACTAGGCAAGGATCTCAATGTGTTTGCACCAAGACCACATTGTCTTTGAACCTGCCTTGTCCATGCCCACTCCCCAGGACCCTCTTCTCTGACCCTTTTGGATGTCACTCTGGGGAATTCTCCAGAACTGGGGAAAAACAGCGTTGCTCATTTCGCTGCTAACGCTGGCTGAGTGTTGTGGCAGCTGGAGCAAACCACACCCACTCCAGGAGCCCATCCACTAACCTTTGCTCGTAGGTTACTGTGGCCTTGACCTCCAGAATTGGGTGCCTTTTGATCACTTCTATAGTCTCATATTTTTATGTTTCTCCTGATTTCCTTTCATTTGCAGTCCATGGCGTCCTATCCTGCACTCAGCGTATGTCCCGCCTCTTGCTCTTGGCCGTGTGTAGTGATGCTGGGGTCTGGTGTCCCTTGGGCATGATTCCCCTCAAATCACATTCTCTCCTGATCAACGTGCCCAACAGTGCTGTTTCTTTCTACATTTTGTAAGTTCTTTTGGAACCAGGTGTTCTGAGTGTTATGCTGTGACAGCTCTGAAATACAACTGTCACTCTTGTTGACACCTGAGTGTTGATGTTGAGGGCGGCAGTTGTCCATTTGTCACAAAGAGAACGTCCCTGGATTGTGAGGTCCCTGAATTTTAGACTCATCACTTTTGTCAGTTGGGTACCTCTGTCTTGTTTGGCCCCTAAAAGGGAGCACATGGGGTCTCTACTCTCCCATTTGGGGCCACATGTCTGCAGGAGCCCTGCAGGGGCCTGCAGGGCCTGCCAAAAGGCACCAGCAGCAGAGGAAGTCAAACAGCTGGTCTCCACAAGTCAGAGGCCGGCACTGCAGCACAGTAGGCCAAGCTGCACTCTGCGGTGCTGGCATCATGGACGGGCACCAGTTTGAATCCCGATTGTTCCACTCCGATCCAGCTCCCTGCTAAAGAACCTGGGAAAGCAGTGGAAGATGGCCCAAGTGCTGGGGTCGCTGCATCCACGTGGGAGACTCCACTGTGCTTGCTCAGGCCTGGCTTCAGGCTGATCCAGCTGCAGTCATTTGCAGAGTAAACCAGAAGACAAAAGATACATTTCTCTCTCTTCTTCTCTTTTCTTTCTCCTCCTACCCATGCTCCACAACTTTGCCTTTCAATAAATCATCCTCAAAAACAAAGTTAAGGAAAGAGGTAGGCATTTGGTGCAGGCATCACAAGGCCTGGGTCAAGTCTCTGCGAGGGAGAGGGAAAAGCTGACCGGGAGGCCAGTGCTGGGCACGGACAGGGAACACAGAGGCTCGTGTTCTACTGAACACGGTGACCGTGGAAGGCTGCAGTGTACGCTGTGTGCTTCACAGGAGGTGACAGAAGGGTTTGGATCATTGTCACCATGGCAAAATTAAAAACAAAGACATAAATGTTTACCATAATTTGAATGCCACACAATGGATGCATGGCATGCACATGAACAGGTACACTTTCTTTTATTTTACATTTTGTTTCAAATTCATTTTGAAAGAAGGGTGTTGTTTAGCTCATGGTCCCGGAAGTGGCCAGGGCTCTAGCGTTCTTGCTGTGTGGTGACAAGGCAGCAGAGGACACCACATTTCAAGGTAGACCACTGGGCTCCCTCAGCTCTGATCTCTTCATCCTTTCTGCCAGTTCTGATCTTCACAAGTCACCACGCCGCCACAGCCTGAGTGTCCTCTCCTGAAAATCATCTTCACTTCTTCACGTGAAGCAGAACCTGCCAGGTTAACAATGTTCTAAGGTCTCAGCACTGCAGTGCACTGAATGAGTAAATGCTGCCCTTTAGTCACTTCTTCATGCTCCCGTTTTCCAGTAAGCACTTGACGAAGCTCCGTTGCAGCCGAATGCTTTGCGGCTTAGAATTTTTTTCCTTAAGATTTGTTTGAAATGAAAAGGACCCAGCACAGTAGCCAAGCAGCTGAAGTCCTCACCTTGCACACGCCAGGATCCCATATGGGCACCAGTTCTAATCATAGTATCCCTGCTTCCCACCCAGTTCCCTGCTTGTGGCCTGGGAAAGCAGTTGAGAATGGCCCAAAGCCTTGGGACCCTGCACCCCAAAGAAGCTCCTGGCTTTGGATTGGCTCAGCTTCAACTGTTGCTGCCACTTGGGGAGTGAAATCACCAGATGGAAGATCTTCCTCTCTGTTTCTCCTTCTCTCTGTATATCTGACTTTCCAATAAAAATGAAATAAAGTGTAAAAGAATAAGAAGAAAGTTACAGTTACACAGAGGCGGCTGAGACAAAGGGATCTTTTCCATCTGCTGGTTCATTTCCCAGAGGCCACAACAACCAGGACTGGGTCAGGCCCAAGCTAGGTGGCAGGAGCTTTCTCTGGGTTTCCAAGGTGGGTGCTAGGTCCCAAGCACTCGGGTCATCCTCCATCACTTCTCCCAGGCCATAGCAGGGAGTTGGGTCAGACATGGAATAGCCAGGACTCAAACCGGCCCCCAGATGGGATGCCAGCATCACAAAAGGCAGAATGCCAGTCCTTGCCAGATAGCCTATGGCACAGCATTCTTTAAGTTCCAGATTCCAAAGAGTCCTGGGGCTTCATGCTGTGCAGTTCTGTTCTTTGCCATGTTGTAGCTAGGCTGGGCTCCAGTTCCCCTGCTTCTACCCCACACACCAGCCAATCCTAATCAAAACAAGCCACAGCACTGCTGGCCAGCTCCCTACACCCAAGGGTCAGCCCTTCTCCTCTGGTCAACGTGTGCACCTCAGAGCCAGCCTGGGACTACCCGCCACCTACATTCTACTGTAGTTGCACAGTGGTCTGAAGAGATGCAAGGCTCTGGGGAAATTGAGAATTGACTGGGGGGAAGGGGGGCAAGAGCCTACTTCCTCTGCGCATTTTGGCCACATGTCAGACCACGTGCTTAACAGGGTCGTCTAGTGCCTACCTTCCAGAATCTAACAGAATTCTCTTAGGGTACTGTTAGCATTCTGTTAGGAGAAACACAACAGAGTGTAAGTCAAAGCAGTCACAGAGCAGAGCCAGGAAGCCGGGAGCATCTACTGGCCGGTGGGCGGCCACCAGGTCAGCTGTGGTGTGAAAGGAGGCAGGAGGGCTAGCCAGGCAGGCGTGGCTAGTAGAAAAACACTTCAATACCGCTGGAACATCGAGGGCAAAGCACAGAATGGGGACAGTTCAGATTGGGGCTGCGAGTCCAGCAAAGCAGTAGCAGGTAACAAGCCCGGCCGAGGCCCACTCCCCTGGGCTGTCCTCATGTGCAGTGGGATACTTACGGGGAACTCACAAGTAAATTAATTCAGGCCCCAACTCAAGGCTCTACCAGTGAGGGTCAGTATGGTGCCACCGCCCCTCCCCCCAGCCCCACCCCACTCCATGTCTCTTTGTGTCTTCCAGGCTTCCAAAGCAAACATAGATTGCACTAATCACCGAGGTACCGGACCCAGCCCCCAAGTTACATGCTTCACTTAAAAAGCCAGTTGAGAAATAAATAAAATTTTTAAAAAGAGAAGAAAACAAAAAATGAGCCTGTCTGCTACACTGTGGTGGCTACCAGCACTCTGGCCAGTGACCCCACGGGTGTTCCTTCAGCTTGCCCTGTGTTTTCCAAATAAAGTGGCCCTGCTGGCCTCCCAGAACGAGGACTGGAGAGCCTGGGGCCAGCAGAGGCTGCAAGAACAGATCAGTGCCATCTGGGTTTGTGCAAGCTCCCCAAATCTATCCTGCCAAGAAAGTGCAGCAGGGACACAAAGCAGGTGGCCGCCTCTGCGTGCCAGAGGCCACAAGTGCCAAGGAGAGCAGTGGTCCCGGTGAGGGTATGGCAGCACCAGCTAGGGCTCCCTGTGTGGCTAGTCTGGCCAGTCCCACAGAGGCTTCGGAAAGCTCTGATCCACCCCTGGGGCTCCTGCAGCCCATACAGGGGCTCGGTGCTGTGTGACAATGTGATCTCAGAAACACCTGGGCCCTAAGCTCTCTCCTCAGACTGCCTCGGGTCCTGTGTGCACAGCAGGTGAAGGCTAAGCCAGCTTGCAGTGTGCCTGGCTGAGCGTTGGTGGCAGGCCCCAGTGGGAGTCCCTGGCAATGATGGAAAACACAGGGCTCTAGGTGTTGAAGGAATTCTCTGACCAGTCACCAGCTGCACTATGACCCTGCATGATAAGGAGAGAATAGAGGATTTGCAGGGTTGGTTCTGAATAGTCAATAAACATAGTAATTATTGCAGCTATGGCAAAGACC